CTCACTGCCAGCCCCAGGTCCCTCGGCGATCAGCCCCATCGGCCACCAGCCCCTCCTGTCTCCAGGGCAGAAGGGGGGACACGGGCCTCTCCTTGGGGCACCGCATCTGCTTACTCCTCCACCATCAGAATTGGGTACGGGGAGACCCACACCCAGAACCTGTGCTCTCCATGGACAAACGGGAAGCCAGCTCTGCAGGCCGGGCTGTGTCTCCCCACCCCTCGGTGTCCTGGGTCACAAGCCTGGCTCTACCGCCAGCGCCCTGCTCATCTGGCTCTAATTAGACCAGCTGCTTTTTAAAAATTCAGCCAACCAGCCAAACCCTCCCAGGCCTCGCCTTCCCAGCTCATCAGTCAAACAGCTACCTGACTTTAAGGACGTGTCATTTACAGTCCCTGGAGAGGACAAGATTTGTGTTGTTTATGAAACAATTAAAATTTAAAACACTGGGTTATCTTTAATCGCCTGTATTTTGCCCACATCATCACAGCATCTATTCACCTCCAGCAGAATAATTAACTTTTCAATCACTGCACTGGTTATAACGGTAACACCCATATGTCTAATATACTTTCTGAAATTAGGGAAATTAAAAATTGGCTTTTATGAGTATACTAACGTTTCACTAAATTGCAGTGCAGTGTGGAAGGATAATTTCTGGTGAAAATATAAATTATTCAGTATCATGAAAATAATTATACTTTATGACTTGCAAATGGAAAAAAAATGATTAAAACTCGAATTATAGTTGTTCATCAACCAGATTAGGAACTAGTCGCAGACCTTGGCTAGGCCGTGGTGACCCGGCTGTATCCCCTTTCACAACTACATCCTGGAATCTGCTACCAGCGCTCCTATCCCCATCACTCGTCAACGGTACTTGGAGATGCTTTGCAGAGGCTAGTGGGTCTGTTAACACACTGGCTTCTTCCACCAGACTGAAAGCTCCCTTGCAGGCAGTCACCCCTTGCCCACCCTGGCATCCCTAGTGCGTAGTACGGAAAGCTCGATAACAGATGGATGAATCCATAAACACATAAAAAGAATGTCAGGAACGAGATTATGGATGTTCACTTGAAAATGCCAATTGTGGGAGTCCTACAGATGAGAAGCATGAATAGTATTCCTAAGTAGATGCCTACTGTAACTCCAAGGTGCCCCTGCCTCCAAGAGGCCTCCAAGGCCTCTTCTAACAACCAGACAGAGGCCTTTATAAACAGCAAGATCCATCTGGCCCCAGCCTCAAGGGGCCGGCAACCCCTTGCCCTTCCATGTCTAAACCATTCCCAGCCGAAATGCAACACTCTGAGATTAAGGTATGTATGTTCTGCATCTTTAACTAGAAGAATCAAGCTTTGATACCAACTCTGCCTTTGCTTGTCTTGGTTTGAATTCCACGGTTTTCTCTTCACCTGGCAAGATTCAGGAGGTGGCCATGGGCCCTTGGAAGAGCTGGTGGGGTTGCAATGTGCACAGAGGGCCCGCGGGCTGTTCAGCACGCTTGCTACCAGAGCTACTTGGATGAAGGCATCCTCCAGGGCTGCTCCATGGAGGGGAGAGGGGGTGCCCCAGGCAGGCAAAGCTCCTCCCTCTGCCCCCTGGTTCCCAGAGCAGCCTAACCTCCCCGTACTCTCCAAAGGTTTCTATAGCTAGAAATAAAGCCTCACAGTCACTGTTCTAAACAAACCCCAAGAGGTACAGAGGGAAGAAATGAACTTTTACTGAGCCCTTACTATGTGCTGGGTGATTTTAAAACACAGTAACAATTCATTTGACTTGCACTGCATCTTTACCAGATAGAGAATGGTTATCTTCTTTCAGGCAGCAAACTGAGGTTCCGAGAAGGGCAGACGTGACTCCAAAGCCGCTCTGTTGTACGTGCCATCCACCTCTAGAGATCGTCACTCCTCAATCGGCCACGTCCCCTCTCCTCTCCCGACTCCCGTCCCCAGCTAGCTCTCAGGCACTGACACTCTCGGATTAATGAACTCATTACCGCTCCGTGTGAATGATCCTTTGTCAATGTGTTACTTTCTAACAATATTCGTTCATTAAAAAATCATTACTTGAGCACCTAAGAGATGCCTGGTACTGGGCAAGATGACCAGGCATTGCCTCTACCGTCAAGGTGTTCCCAGACCAGTAGGGAGAAATACACAAGCTGGTAAATAGGAATATGAAAAATGGGACCACAGATGCCTGTCCCGGGAACAAGGTGGGGACACAGGTCCTGGGGAGAGGGAAAGGACACCTGCTGCCTTCTTCACGGTTAGGAACCATTTGATGGTTTCTACGGCTGCCATGTTTTTCTGGTCATACTGGGACAGATCCCAATGCTTCCAGCATTATTCATGCCTCTGGGAAAAAAAGGTTCAGATGCCAAAATGCACCTTTGTCCTATTTCCTCTTCAGTCTTATTCCAGGAGGTAAGATGAACTGAAACTCATCAAATTTCTTTCCATTGTCCTAGAAGAATAATTTGACTTGAAATACATTTAGACATTAAAAAAAAAAAAAACAACACCTGACTCTTAAAAGCAATTCTATGCTTTCCCTGTCTTCCCTCTAAGATGTTCCTGTCCTAGGCTAAGTCAAAGAAAGATACTGTTCTACTGCAATTTCTTGTTCACCCAAAATGCTCTTGTGTTCTAGACGGAATGGAATGTGAGTGTTATTGCTACCCTGCTTGGTCTTTCTAATCCAATAATAACTTGACTACTGGCTCTCTAATGACAGTGGTTAGGCGGGTTAATACCCAAGCATCAAGGCAAAATCCCTTCCCTCATCCCTGTGGATAATCTCAGATCACTGCTTCTGTCCAAGTTTCTTTCCATTCCCTTTAAGCAATTCAACATTTTCTTCCCCCAAATTCTTGCCTTTCAGAATCTAAACCATGAAAACAATTGTCATGGTAATAAGCTGATTAGAGCACAATGCACACCACAGAGCAAAAATCATCATTATGAGCACATACATAGGCGCTGCTAAAAAGCGAAGTGACAAAAAATGAGCCGCACAAAACAGCACAAATACATAACCGAACGCTGTCAAAATGCACGAATTATCCCAGCTCCAGAAATGTATTTGAGGGACATAATTCAAAGGAAGAAAAAAGTATGAAAACGCTTTCTTGCAAAATGATATGTGATACCAGAAAACTGAGAAGGTGGCAGGGCCATGGCCGGGTAGATTACAAACTATTAAAAATAATCATTATGAAGTCTGAGTAACAGCATGAAAAATGCTTTGATACGTTTTTAAGTTAAAATAACATAATTGCATATGTAATAGGATTATAAATATGTCCAAAAAAAAACTATGTTTGTCTAAGGACAGTGGAATCATGGGTAGTAATGTTTTTAAATGTTGCTGGATATTATAATATCATCTTTACAATACAAAAGCTCAGAGGAAAATAGATGATGTGTCACTGCCTGACAATTGTCACTATGTAAGAAAGTCCCCTTTACAGTGACAATGACAGGCAGTTAAATGAGAGCACAGATGTCGGCTCCCTTCCTTTATCCTGGTTTATTTATTAATGTTGACCTTTCCAGGACTTAAAAATTAATCTAATCAACAAATTACAGAGAGATTTTACATGACTGCCGAGGGGTAATTAGCAAATCCTGAAATGAAATTCGAGAGGGTGGCACAGACAGGGAAGGTGAAGCGGGCAGGGCAGGGGGGTTCTTAGCTAACTGGGCCAGCATCCTAATGTCAGCACGTGAGGCATGAGTGCCCTTGGCTTCTCAGTTGTAATCAGATGTTAGAACTTGAAAATTCTCTCTTAAATTCAGAAAGCATCCAAGGTCTCATGGACCCTTCTAGGCTTTCCCAGCCCTCAGTCTCGCGTGCCTGCTGTTCACAGGGCAACCCCACAGATGCAGCCCTGCTTTGGTCTCTACAACCAGCCCTGGGTTGAAGCAGGGAAGTTGTTTGGATTTTTCTGTTGCATTGTTGTAGCCCATAGATTCTTTTCATTATTGTAGTAAAAATACATGACATAAAATGTATCATGCCAACCAATGTTTAAGTGTACAATTCAATGGCATTCGGTGCAGTCACATCTTTGTGCAACCACCACCTCCGTCCACCTCCAGAATTTTTCATCACTGCAAACTGAAACTCAGCGCCCATTAAACAATAACTCCTCCTCGCCTCCCCCGCCCCCAGGCCCTGGAGGCCAACATTGTACTTTCTGCTCTGTGGATGTGACTCAAGGAACCTCACAGAAGTGGACTCACACAATGTTTGTCCTTCTGTGACTGCTTTATTCCCTTTGGCATAATGTCCTCAAAGCTCATCTATGGCATGGCAGCCAGGTGTCAGAGTGTCCTCCCCTTTTAAGGCTTAGTGATATTCCATCCTATGTGTACCACAGCATGGAGTACCTACCTCTCCTTGGGATGACTATCAGGTCATCTTGTTATTGATCCAACCCTAGGCACCCAAGTTCAATTCTGAGAAATGGGCTCCATCTCGTTCTCCGGCCTCACAGAGGCTCATCCTTCACTTCTACTACTTCCCTAGCAGTCCTTGACTTGAGAAACTTTCTAGGCTTCCAATCCTTTTCAGATTCTAAAGGATTCATACCAGCTTACTCCAGAGCAGTAGCTTGGACTTGTTACCTATTGTTCACTGCTTGTTCAGAGTCCCCACCTCGGGCTGTGTTCAATCTACCAATAGGGGTACAAGTAACTCATCACAGATCCAAAATGGCAGCCACCTGCCTAAACTGCCCTATTTTAATGACACACTTGTCTATTCAGCCCAACCTGCCAGGTGGGTCCTTCTCTCTGTTCTTGTACAGGGAATAACATCATTTCAAGAGATGCTGGTGTCTACGGCAAGCTCAGCATCCTGTCCACATTCCAATTTTCTTCCTTTCTATTGCTTATCACCAGATACTTCTCTGCATCTTCCTTGTCTCTGTCCAAACCTTAAACATTAGACCCAAGGCATGGACTCTAGAGAAGCCCAGGTCCACCCACACTTACAGCCAAAGTGAGTTCCTTCCTTGAGTGATGACACCAGTGAATTTTGTCAGACGTCTAGCATCCACTTCAATCCACTGATGGAGGTCATTCCTTCCTGCACACCACGCCCCATCGTAAAAATCATTTTCATTAATACCTGCCTGGAAAGAAAAAGAGATGTTCTTCAGAAAGACCCAGAATCATGAATATTTTCATGAGATTTTTAGGAGTAGGGGGTGGGGGGTGGATAGAAGAAAATGAGTAGGGGACAAAGAAAAAAAAATCACTATGCCCTGAACACTCTTCATTCTAAATCATAAAATGCAGTGGCTTATTATTAACAAGTTGGAAATATTTCAATATGAGATGTCCTCTTCTTGCCCAGCATGGAAGACGAAATTTAATGAGCTCCCCTATTACTCATGCATCCAACAGGCACAGACCGTCTCCAACATACCCGCCTACACACGCCAGGTGCCGGGGATACAAAGGTGAATCGTTCTCTCCCAGAACCTCACCATCCAGGCACAAAGAAAGACACAAAAACAGATGAATTAGAAATACAATGGGGCATGTGTTATTTTGGGAACAGGAGCAAACCATTAGAGGAGCATCTCGGGATAATGGCTAACTTGGTCTGGGGGAGACCAGGATGGAAGTGCTATCTGAGCTGGGTGCTGAAGGATAAATTTATCTAGTGAATATTTATTTACTGACATTTAAATCACTTGATGTGTTGAGTTTTAGCTACTACTGCTACTAAAGATTCTTTTAATATGAATTTACATGGTATGTGATGTTTCTGCTCTGGAATGTTCCCTCTATTATCACCATTTCAAGAGAGAATTCCCTGATACAAAAAAGAAAAGAAGGAAGAGGAGGAGGAAGAAAAAGATCATATGAACTTCACATAAGTGAAGCTTCCTAAGTTACTAAGACTCTTTCTACATGAACCCCATGGTTTTTCCCATAGCTATTTCACAAATACATAATCAGAAAAAAAGTCTAAGTGATATCTTAGTGAAAGACAGGCCATCCCATCCTACTTCTGAGCACCTTTCAGCTCAAATTCTGGGGCAGCCTGACTTCTAATGGGCAACAGTGATGTGAAATTCCCAGTCCAGCTACAGCACAGAAACAACATGGCCAAGGGTTCCTTTAGTGGAGCCCCACCACCTCTGCATCAGCTAACATCAGCCTTGTGTCAGGACCAAACCACAGCACATCCATTCCCATCCCCTCCTGAAACAATCCTGAAAGAGCTCTGAGGGCAAATGTCAAGATACTAACAAATCATGGCCTCCTGAAAGCACTACCATCTCAAATGAAGGTGACCAGAAACACCCATTAGTCAACATTCTCCAGAAACTCAAGCTCTCAATTAACCAGCACCTCCAGGTCTGATGGTTTACAGGGCATCTGTGATAAGGGCCTGGAGGTGCTACAAGGTTCTGCCTTCTAGAACCATCAAAGAAAGGCTAAATCTTGCAAGTATGTGTTACCAGTACTTACCTGGGCTTTGGTGGGTTTTGTGAAAGTGAGGGTGACTCTCTGACATGCAAGCTCTCATTTCCCAAAGCTGCCAGCCAACAAGGAGACCACTGCCCCAGCCTGGAGCCTATAAGGGCACAATCCCTGCATGTCTTCACCAGGGGCAGCTATCCTCCCAACGACAAGTGCTGGTTAAGAGCATATGCTCTGAACTCCTCCTGCCTCAGTGTGAATCCCAATCTTGTCACTTCCATCCTGTACAAACTCAAGCAATTTGCCTAAAGGCTCTGTGCCTCAGTTTTCCCACATGCCAAAACAGGGGCAAGGATGATTTCTCCCTTAGGGTACTGATAGTGCTTTCAACAGGACCTGGCATGCTGTTTAGACTCAAAAAAAAAAAAATAAAGTGAGCACTTAATAAAGGTGAGTTACAAGTATATTCAAAACAATGACTATCTGGCAAATTATGGAAATATGGGTGATTTGTGAATTACCTCACATTCTCCAAAATTATAAGGAATTATGGTACTATTCTGGGCACTTGCTGCCACATTTTCAACAACTTCAAATATCTAGAATAGAGTTACAAAATCTGAATAAAGAGGAGACTTACCGTCTAAAGCTTTCAACAGGAATCCATGTCATCCCCCAGGGGATAGTTGCAATGTCTACACACATTTTTAGCTGTCACAACTGGAAAAAGTGTGTGCTATTGGCAACACACGCACAGAGTTCAGGGATGCTACTAACCATTCTACAATGCACAGGCCAGCCCTGCACCAAAAGGAAGTGCTTCCTCCAAAATTTGAGCCATGTCAAGACCGAGAATATATGGTTGTGAGCTGAGATGCCAAGAACAGAACTGCCACAGAGCCTGGGATTTTTCACCACAAGAGAATCATAGAGATTTGGAGGAGCTATCCTCATGCTACTTGACCAAAGTCTATTTGACTAAGACTTGGAATTAAATTAAATTAATTTAATTTTCTTTTTTTAAAATTCCCCTGGCTGTTTGGGGTCTTTTCTGATTCCACACAAATCTTAAAATAATTTGTTCTAAGTCTCTGAAGAAAGTCCATGGTATTTTGATAGGGATTGCATTATACGTGTAAATTGCCCTGGGTAACATTGATATTTTCACAATATTAATTCTGCCAATCCATGAGCATGGAATATTTTTCCATCTCTTTGTGTCTTCCTCAATTTCTTTCAGAAGTGTTCTGTAGTTTTTAGGGTATATTTTGAGAACCATTTTCCAATACAACTTGTTTTTGGCCACTCTGCACTGAGCAAAATGACTAGAAGGAAAACCTCACTTCAAAAGAAAGAATCAGAAACAGCCCTCTTTCCCACAGAGTTACAAAATCTGGATTACACTTCAATGTCAGAAAGCCAATTCAGAAGCACCATTATACAGCTACTGGTGGCTCTAGAAAAAAGCATTAAGGCCTCACGAGACTTCATGACTGCAGAATTTAGATCCAATCAGGCAGAAATTAAAAATCAATTGAATGAGATGCAATCCAAACTAGAAGTCCTAACGACGAGGGTTAACGAGGTGGAAGAACGAGTGAGTGACATAGAAGACAAGTTAATGGCAAAGAGGGAAACTGAGGAAAAAAGAGACAATCAATTAAGGGACCATGAAGACAGATTAAGGCAAATAAATGACACTCTAAGGAAGAAAAACCTACGTTTAATTGGGGTTCCCGAGGGCGCCGAAAGGGACCGAGGGCCAGAATATGTATTTGAACAAATCCTAGCTGAAAACTTTCCCAATCTGGGAAGGGAAACAGGCATTCAGATCCAGGAAATAGAGAGATCCCCCCCTAAAATCAATAAAAACCGTTCAACACCTCGACATCTAATAGTGAAGCTTGCAAATTCCAAAGATAAAGAGAAGATCCTTAAAGCAGCAAGAGACAAGAAGTCCCTGACTTTCATGGGGAGGAATATTAGGGTAACAGCAGACCTCTCCACAGAGACCTGGCAGGCCAGAAAGGGCTGGCAGGATATATTCAGGGTCCTAAATGAGAAGAACATGCAACCAAGAATACTTTATCCAGCAAGGCTCTCATTCAAAATGGAAGGAGAGATAAAGAGCTTCCAAGACAGGCAGGAACTGAAAGAATATGTGACCTCCAAACCAGCTCTGCAAGAAATTTTAAGGGGGACTCTTAAAACTCCCCTTTAAGAAGAAGTTCAAGTAACTCTGAACGTGAATGGGCTTAATGACCCCATCAAAAGGCGCAGAGTTTCAGACTGGATAAAAAAAACAGGACCCATCTATTTGCTGTCTACAAGAGACTCATTTTAGACAGAAGGACACCTACAACCTGAAAATAAAAGGTTGGAGAACCATTTACCATTCAAATGGTTCTCTCTCTCTCTCTCTAAAACAAAACAAAACCAAAAACAAACAGGATTTTTCTGTTTCGAGATGATAGAGTAAATGTTGATTTTTCTGTGCTCTTTTCTCAAAAATTCCCCCCAAAGAAAACAAGATGAGGAAACACAACCTTGATCTCTGACAAAACTAGAAGATATGGGATCCCTGGGTGGCGCAGCGGTTTAGCGCCTGCCTTTGGCCCAGGGCGTGATCCTGGAGACCTGGGATCGAATCCCACGTCAGGCTCCCGGTGCATGGAGCCTGCTTCTCCCTCTGCCTGTGTCTCTGCCATTCTCTCTATATCTGTGTGACTGTCATAAATAAAAATAAATAAATAAATAAATAAATAAATAAATAAATATTAAAAAAAACAAAACTAGAAGATATTTATAATTGTCAAATTATAATAAATGAAGACAGAAATCAGATGGAGGAATTCCGAATGGCTCAGCAAGAGGAGATGTGAGCTTATGAGGGAAACACCAGTGAGAAACAAGCCACCCAGGGCTTTAAAAAGCTCAGAAACTAGACTCTTAGGTAGCTTGAAAGGCAGAGTAGGGCTGAAAACAGGGAACTGATTCAAAATATGCATTAAAAAAATAGATTCCCACATCCCCTTCCCCACATTATAGAAGACCTGAAATTTTTCTCTTAAAAAAACCCCAAACATTCCTAGAAGCTCTGTATTTGGGGACTCTAGACATAGGGGAGCAGGTGTGATATGATAGATAAAAAAGGGGAACTCAGTCAGTAGATAGCAGAGTCAAGAGTGAGACGCCCCAGCTCCCCTCCTCCTTCCAGCTCCAACCAGGCTTTCAACAAACAGAAATTAAATAAACTAAAAATATAATGGGAAACAGAAGAAAATCTCAAAGAAATTATAATGACTATTCTCTGAAACAGAAGATCTTGCTTGCATACAACAAAAGAAGGATATTCTTAGAAAGGAAAAAGCATTGTTCTTACAATGTGAAAATACCAGTAACAATGGGCAATAAAAGAAAAATAAGAGCAGAGGAAGAAATTACCAAAAAAAAAATACTGTAAGTGAATAATGTCCCAGATCTGTAAGGTTTAAGTCTCCAAAGCATTAAGAATCTAGTATGATGAATAAGACCCACATCCAGCTGTATCTCTGTAAAACTTCAAAACATCACAAATGAAAAGAAGATTCTAAAAGCTTCCAAAGAGAAAACAAATATATAAAACAAAGCCAAAGGAATCAGAATGGTCCCAGAATTCTTAGTAGCAACATCTGAAGCTCAAAGAATGGAGGGATAA